TTTGATGGTGTCCCACTTATATATTCATAGTTTCAGTTCATGTACTTTTGAGGAAGTTGGTGCCAGCAATTATATGTAGAATGTTGGCCCTACGTTCTTTTCTAACAGTTGTAAGGTTTCTGGTCTAATTTCTAAGAGTTTGATCCATTTTCATTTGAGTTTTGTGCAGGGTCAGAAATAGGGTTTTAGTGTTATTTTTCTAGATAGTTATCCAGTTGTCCCAGAACCATTTATTAAAAAGCCTCTTTCCTCCAATATATATTTTTGCACCTTTGTTAAGTATCAGAGGGATCTAAGTATTGATTTTGTCTCTGTCTTCTATTCTGTCCTATTGGTCTTTGGGTCTATTTTTGTGACAATATCATGCTGTTTTGTTATTAGAGCTCTGCAGCATTACTTATTGTCTGGTTTTATATTTAACGGTGGTACCAATACTAAAAAACAAACTGAAATAGAAAACTACTTCAAGAATTAGATAGTAGGAGACAACTATGTAGGCTAATATATTAACATCCCAACTTGAAGTGGTGAAAATTACAATATATATTTAGGAATACAGTATTTTTCTTTTGGCAGAGCTATTTTTGTTTAATACTTTTACTTTATATATTTTTACGTGGTGCTGAGGATCCAATCAGTGCCTCACACATGCTAGGCAAGTGCTCCGCCACTGAGCTACAGCCCCAAATCTAGGAATACAGTATTTTTATTGAAAATTCTTTTTTAAAATATTATTTTTACATAATAGCATATTTTGGCATATTATACATACATAGAATAATTATAACTTGTTGAAAATAGGATCCCCCATTATTGTGGTTGTACATGATGAAGAACTTCATTGTTTATATATTCATACATGAAGATAGGAAAGATGTGTCTTATTCATTCTCCTGTCTTTCCTATTACATGTTCCCCCCTTCTCTTCATTCCCCTTTGTCTAGCCCAATGAACCTCTAATCTTTCACTCTCTAGTTGTGAGTTAGCATCAACATTCTGCCTTTGGGTTTTGGGATTGCCTTATTTCACAAAGCATGATAGTCTCCAGTTCCATCCATTTACTGGTGAATGATATAATTTCATTCTTCATTATGGCTGAGTAGTATTCCATTTTGTATGTATACAAAATTCTTTATCTATTCATCTGATGTAGGGCACCTAAGTTGGTTCTGTAGCTTGACTATTGTGAATTGAGCTGCTATTAAATATTGAAGTGGCTATGTCACTGTGGTATGCTGATTTTAAGTTGTTTGGGTATAAAGTGAGGAGTGGGATAATGGGTCAAATAGCGGTTCCATTTCAAGTTTGTAAAAAAGCTCCACACTGCTTTCCAGAATGGTTGCACCAATTTGCAATTCCACCAGCAATGTATTAAGTGAATCTCTTTCCCTAAATCCTTGCCATCATTTAGTGTTGCTTTTATTTTTAATATTTACCATTCTGAGTGGGGTGAGTGAATTCTCAGTGTACTTTTGATTTACATTTCTCTAATTGCTAAGATTTTAAATACTGCAACCTCTGGATCAACCAAGTTTAGGCAGCTTCTCTGATTTCAGGTTTTTCTGTACTAAATCTGTGTTTCTCTGTGTTCTCCCCTCCATTTGTGGGGAATCTTTGCTGCTTCCGGTACCCATGTGGCAGGTGCATTGGCGTCTATATATTCTTATTCTTTGTTTTTGTACTCAAATTTCTGATTCCCTAGTCCAACTGAATGTACACTATTATATTTTGTGAAATTCCTTTTTCATCAACCTCAGTAAGTGTCTATATTCCTGCTGCTGTGCTCATGAGACAATGTAATGCAGCTTTCTACTATATCACCATCTTCTGGTCTTGCAATACAGCTTTTTATCCAGGATGATTGCTTATAAGTTTTAAAACTTTTCAGGTTGATGCTATCCCATTTGTGGATGTTTGATTTTATTTCTTGAACTTTAGGAGTGTACTTAAGGAATTCAGTTCCTGAGCCTCGATGTTAGAGTGTTGGGCCTACATGTTCTTCTGGTAGATGCAGGGTTTCTGGTCTACTTC